CAATCCACGTCTGGGCAGGAAATCAGGGGGAAGCGGCCCTGCGAGGGGAAGTTAATGAGATGAAGTCTGCTCCGTTCGGGCGGGGTGGGGGGGGTGCCGACGCGATGGCACATGGCAGCGTCTCACCTGGGCTAGTCGGGGGAGAAGCGGTCGGACGTCTGTGCCGCCGCCAAAAATAAGCTCTGCTGTGTCAAGGAGGTAAAGTGATGCTGCAACATGATGGGAAAATGGTATCGACGGAGCAGCGAAACAGGCCCTCAGCCGGGCCGCTTTATGAGACCAAATGGAGCTGCTGCTTCTGCTCAAGTGGATCATATTTTGACTGAGCTGCTAGAAATTCTATTTTGTCGGGTAAATGTCCAAACATCCTGACCAAACACTGATGCTCTCGTGGACTTTTTTTTTTCTGTGTGTGTGAATGTTTCTCTGAGCTGTGACACCCTTTTTTTTTTTTTTTTTCCTACAGAGTCTGCCAATGTTAGGATGTGATAGCTCTTGGGTGACAGCCTTGATGCCATGGCAACACAGAGAAACGTCAGTTTTTGGGTGAGATGTAATCAGTGGCTGATTTTCAGATAACCTAATAATATTTAGAACAAAGCAGCGTCCTCTCAGGAGGAGAGGGACCTTGAAACATTCAGAGGTTTCCGGTTGAAGGCCGGAGCGGTTGGAGCCACGGTAGCGTTCGGAGCTAATTCAGAATCATTAAGAGTCCTAATAAAAACCTAAATGACTCGATGGGATGCGGTTGTTTGTCGGCGTGTGTGTGTGGATGTGTGTGCCGGGGGGACGGCATACTAAGCAGACCCCGCTGCATCAATAGAAGTGCTGTTCATCAGCATTTACATCTTCCCCCCTTTTTTGCAAGTGTTTTTTTTTTTTTTTCCCCCTTCACACCACATCACAAGAAACACCTTGATGGAGCGCTGCTTGCACTTTATTCATAGTCTTCATGGTGCGTTTCACTCAGGCAGGTGACAAATTGAAATTCTGATCACTGTATTTGGATCTTAATTCCTCTTGGCCTGATGCGAGGGGAGCTTACGACCTGGGATTTTCTTCTGGAGAGAGGAATGCAGAATCCTTGAACACCACGTCTGAATATCAATACGGCCTTCTCCAAGTGAATTTTCAGCACGTCGAGGCCCGGCAAGTTGTGGAGATATTCAAATTCGGTGCAGTTTCAGGTGCAAGGAGTGCAAATAAAACCCACCTCTGTGTCTGAAATACAAACCAAAGCCTCTCAGCTCGTGTTTTCTCTTCACACTGCAACACCAGCGTCTGAATAATGAATCCATCCCTTACAAGTTGAAGCATCTCTCATCACAAGTTTGTGCAGGCGTCAAATCTTAATAAAAGCACCAAACAAAGAGCCTTCTAAAAAATTTGGGTCGACGAATGTGGAGCCGGCGTGCAGGAGCTGAAACCACACATCACTTCTGTGCCATCAGTGGAAGGTAGCGAGCGCATAAGTGCATCCACTGTAGCAGCGAGAGCAAACAGAAGCAGCAAAATGAGGCGTGGGCCTGGTTTCACTGGTGTAGCAGTTACAATGGAGCCTCGGGCACTCATGAATAATAAGATATGTGATAACTAACACTCCACAGAAAGACAGGACCATTACACCTCATCCTTTATGAGGAAAAATCACCGGGACCATATTTTTTCTCTGGTCACCTGGCAACATGATCCTCATCACTGCCACACATTTATCCCCATTATCAGGTGTATTACTTAGCCTCATTTAGACTTTATCACGGCCAAATGACTGATGTGTAAGTCGCTGATATGCAACGTGGATCCTGTGGGCTGATAAAAACACACAATAAAATAGTTTTTGGGGTTTTTTTTTTGGTTAGAGCCACGCTATGATTCCCCATTTTCACCTGTAGGAGAACCACACAATGCAGCCTTTTCTAAAAATAAATCTATCTATCTGACTGCAAATTGAGGGGATTTTTTTGTGACCTTGCGGTGCAGGTCCTGGGCTGGTGGCCACAACCCCTGTCACTGCTGCTGGGAGATGATGGAGAGGAGGGAGGAGGAGGAGGGAGGGAGGGGGTCCTGAGAGAACTACTTAAAGTCAATATTTCAACCTAGAAAATAAAGAGTTCCCAGGCTGCAGCTGTGGAGAAATGTTGGATTTACCTTGCAGATGAAACATCAGAGGAGGGAGGTGGGCTGGAGCTGGTTCCCTTTGACTGAGAGCATTCTGCCCCCCTTCCAAAAAGGGAAGAAGAAAAAAAAAAAAGATGGGAGCCTCTTCGGAGGATAATTTCAGGTGTCCCGAAACACGCGTCTTGGCTCCTACAACATGTGACGGCCTGCGAAACCAGCGATGCCCTTCAAGAAATCCATAACCAGCAAGATAAAGGACGGTTCCCTCCTGCGATGCGCTCACACCGCCATCGCATCCCCTGTTTCTTTAGTTTGGAAAATAAAAAAATAAAATGGGAGGTGAAGGAAGGAAGGGAGAGGAGGAAAAAAAAAAAAAAAAAAAGAAACGCAGCCTGAAGGGTCCCGGTGTGGCTGTTGAGGCTGCAGCTGTGCGGGATTCGCCTCTACTGCGCATCCGCCTTGTGTTGCACCTCCACCACCAGAGAAAACGCCTTTTGTAGCGACGGGCTGCTTTAAACCTCCACCGCGCTGCTCCGACTGACGGGAGCTGAATCCGGCCAGATGTTCGTATCGCTTTCACCGGGTTTTTTTTTTTTTTTTTTTCTTTTTTTTTTTTTTTGCTGGCGACGCAGGGCTCAGTGTGAGTTAATCCAGATTGACTGAAAGGTTGCTGCCGTAATATATCCCCCCTCTCTGCCCCCGGACTACTGTCAACCACCGACCCGGCTCCATTTCTGACCAGAGGTGCTGTGCGCGGAATGGTAATCGGTGCGCTCCGAGCTGCACAGAGACCATTTGTGTGCACAGACAGATGCAGTGCCTCCCAGCCTATCTCACAGGCAAGCATCATAATTTATTCATGTAGATTGAACTCCACTGCACGAAAAAATGCAGCAGACCTATAATATTCTCTAAGAATTAAAAAATAAAATTAAATAAATAAATAAAAAAGAGGAGTTGAAATTAGATTTTAGTTATTGGAAATCCATCCATTGATTTGCATTAAAAAAAAACAAAAACATATCACTGACTGATGCCAAATATAGCAGCCTATAGCCGCGCATTCCTGCATGTATTACATAGATTATTGGCAAGAAAGTGTTGAGTTGGCTGAAAGAGAAAAGACCTGGCTCCCTGTGGGTCCACTTGGCACCCGACCCATCACTATCTGATGCAATGATCCCATGGCCTTTTGTGCAAGTTGGCAGAGTGGAAGCCTATACGTGCACGAGTGTGCTACAGCGGCAGCGGCAGCTCTCCGAGTGCTTCTTTATTCCGGAGAACAACGACCTATAGGGCCTCCTGGCACTTCGAAATAGGTGTTTGTTGTCATCCGGAGAATTACCCAGAGGAGTTCTGCTCCGGATCGATAACTCCATGCAGTTACAACACGTCCACTTGAGATCAATATGAATCGCCTAAGTGGCTTGAGCGTTCGCAGTTATCCAGAAGTGGAAAGACAGGAGAGTTCAACGGCTGACAGTGCGTCGTGTCTGTGCACAAACTGACGTACATGTACAGTAATCAGCCATGATAGAAAAGGTAAATAAACACTGCTGGGAAACCTTTGGGTGCCAAAAACTGCAGTTCCTCGAGTGTCCACTTGAGGCTGCCTCCAAAATGAGTAATTTCCCATAGACCTCCATGTTAAAATGTCCAACTTTACAGCAGAAATAAACATGTTTACAGGCCAATACAAACAATGGTTTTGGTCTTAATGGATAATTTTCACATTCATGAATACTGTGCAGGTGTAGAAATTCTATATAACTCACCTGTTTAAATTTTATTCAAGCCTAACGTTATGTTAAAATAAAAGTGGGGTCACTGTCATTGACAGGTCCTGCCTCAGCTCCACCTCTTGTTCATTTTTGGATTAGCTTGGCATTAGGAGGCATCTGATTCTGACATTACCAGCTTGTTAAACTACCTGTTATCAATGCACATTAGCCTCATACATATGGGCCAGCAGGAACCTCCTCCACCTTCTCGTGAGCTCAGTTAAACAGAAAGTAGGCTCGATAACCTCTTGAATAGGTGCACACTGGACCAAATGCAGCTGTATATTGTAGTAAACGTAAATCAAATCAAACCAAAGCTAGACGTTTGGTGCCTAAACTTAATCAAACACCAACTGAAAAACTGGGAGTGAAAGTCAAAATTCAAAACGAGGCTTAAGTTGAAAGATAAATCTACAATTATTGACCCAGATGGAACTCAAACTCATGCCTGCAGTGTTAACTGGCTCACTTACTTCATGGATTCCCTTTGCAATTATTAAAGTTCTATCTTATGTTATCTCTTATGCCTGCTCCAATCTCCAAATGTTCCTCCTTGTGAGTGTTAAATTGACGCTCCACTGCTATTAAATGATGGGACATTGGCCTATGGCGTCCAATAGAAGGTGCAGAAGGCCCCTACTTGCCCATCCATATGGGAATGACCTGCAAAGATGGTGCTTACTGAACAGTATAATACATCCAAATCAAGAGTGGGAGGAGTCAGGAAGTACAAACATGGTGACGGACGGAGCCAAAACACTGAGCTTCACAACCGCTGCTCAGGAAACCTACATCACTGCTCAGGAATGACTCGAGGAACACGACAAAGAGCTCCGGGCATTGATCTGAGCCCACGGATCCCAATCCAATCAAGCATCCACCACCAGAACAAGCCTTATCCACCTACTCAACAGCCCACAGGAACCAAAGGATCCACTGCCAATGTCTCCCCCAGAGGTCCAGAGTCCAGGTCCTGATGGATCAGAGCAGGGATCTGATCCACACAATATGAGCCGGGTGGTTTTAATGTTGTGGCTGATCGGTGCATGAAACCGGGTCGCGCTCCGTCACCCAGCAGTCGGAAGATTTTCAGCAATTCATTTCCCTTTTCAAGTAATTTTCAGAATAAACACACGCCGGCAGCCTGCAGAAAAACCCACTGGAATAAATGATTCTACTACAACATACGAGCATTTTGCTGGTGGGAAGTGTGAATGCCAAGGCCTGCCTGCGACCTCCTGTGAGTCGCTCATCAGAGTCATCCTGAGCTGACAGTTGGCGGTATGAAATGACACTGACATGTCTCGTTTTTTGTTTTTTTTCCCCCTCCTTCCTTTACTGTCATGATTCACGCTGGGCTTCCTCTGTCAGCGACGGCTGCCGTCCAGGAACTGCTGGAAGGTGAGTCCGTCCGCCCGCTCACCTGTCCGGCTCTTCCGCTCCAGGAAAAGGCCCATGGAGTCCCTCGGAGGGTCGGCGATGCTGCGACTCCACGGGGCCTCTGTGATCCCCAGCAGCTCCCGAACACCGGCAGAGATGACCTGCAGAGCGGCACAGCAGGCCTGAGTCTCTCTGATAACGCAGGCTGCATGTTTGCGTTACTTCATTTAACAAGTGAGAGTCTCTGAAGGAAGAAGTCGCATCGTTGGAGGAAAAGGTTGCAGTGTTACGCTCCCAAATACAAATATCAAAGAACTTAAAACAAAACAGACTCGGCAGGCGCTTGTTTACCGTCTGTCTCGAGATCCTTCATTACTCACAGAGTTTAGCTTCATGTTGAATACATAAAGGCGCTTTTAGCCAATTTATTTCTGACCTCAGGGAGAGATAAGAACATTAACTGTAAACAGCATATATGTGATGGAGCTGATTGGAGGTGTTTGCTGCCAGTGATGCTCGGTTACAACACACAACTTTAATTGGATGCCACAAAAGGAGAAGAGCCAAACAGGCTGTGCTGCTCAGCTGGCACAAAAACTGAGGCTTTCTGCTGTTTACAGTCCACGTACAGAGCAGACTGCAGGCTTCCAATACAACTGAAGATGCAACTATTTATTATTAATTGTTATTTGTTTTTCTGCTTTTTGTGTAATCAGCTTATGCACCCTGTGAATTGTCATTATACGCCATAATTACCGTCACAGTTTAACACAATCAGATCAAAGCGATGTGTAGTAAATTCTGTGACTCAGTGGCTAATTTTAAAAAGATATAAAACAAAACACCTGCATAGATTAGTGTTTGTAGAATATTTTTTATAAAGTCTTTTTTAATGTCTTGTTGTCTTTATAAGAAATTTTACATTCATAAAAGAAATGATCGAGACCAAATAAACATCTTAAATGTGTACTGTAAATGAAAATGTCAATTTATTTACATTTCTTTGCTTTGGAAAAATATTGTAAGATTGAGTTTTTGTTTGATGATATACCACCTTAACCACAACTATCTAGATTAAGCTGTTGGGCAAGTTTAGATCAGCATTCACCAAAATATATGGCAAAATATGGATTTACATTACTTTGATATTAGACATCATAGATTGGGAAATGACTTCAGTAATACTATCATACTTTTTTTTTGGCCATAACGGTAAAATTTTAATAAATTTTTTAACATATCTATAAAAGCTCACATGTACAGATTTGCATTTGTATTTCATTTAATTTAGTTATTATTATTTTTATTTGTAGAGAATTCACGTATTTTAATGTCAACTCAATGAAAAAAAAATACTTTGTTTATCCCAGAAGGGAAATTCAATCATATATATCAATTCAATTATTTGCTAATTAAATTAATGCAAACACATTAAATGCAGCTGATTGTTTCAGATCATAAATTATATTAGGTTATGACTAGTATGAGCACTGCAGTGGTGGACAGTAACTAAGTACATTTACTCGAGAACAAATACAATATTGAGTTTCTGGTACTTTAATTGAGTATTTCCATTTTCTGCTACTTTATGCTTGAACTTAAGACAGACAATTTTTGTACTTTTTACTCCACAACATTTATTCCCTAAATTTGCAGATTTAATTGAATCATACAAAAATATAATCAACAAATAAATTGTGTTGTTATATAATAGCTTCAGATCAGTGTTCAAAAGCCAGCAGATATAAAGTAGTTAAACCACCTTTACCAGCTTCAGCATTAGAGTGATGAACACATTAATGCAGCTATAATTATGTTAAATTGCTGTTTACAGGACTTTAATATCCTTATTTACTGTATATTTTTGTTGCTAGCATTTGACATGTTATGGTGCATTTTTCAATTTCGTGATTTTTTTATTCATAGTATATTTTACACTTTATTTTGTATCTTGGTACATTTTCTACTATATTTATATGATATTTTAGACTTTTTTATTGTGGTTGTGATGACTTTCCTCTTTCTGCTTGGTACTGTAACAACAGAATTTTCCCTTGCGGATCAATAAAGTACTTCTGTTCTATTATATTGTTTTATAATTTAATAATATAATATAAATCATTCTAAAATATGCCACTCTGCACAATACTTTTGATATTTTTGATGCAAATGTGTGTATTTGTACTTGAGTAAAAAATGTAAATGCATGACTTCTAAAACAGTATTTCTACTCTGTGGAACTGCAAACTTTACTCAAGATCAGAGTGTCTGTAGCAACTCTGCAGCGGTGCCATTATTAGTGTTATATTGGTGCTACACAGTCTGTTTGACTATTGTGTCAGCCTCTTGTTTGATATGTAAACAAGCCTCCATAATAAAACTAATCTCCTCTGAAGTTCAGAAAGTACACGTCTCCCTCATTCTCACTACCTGCATGTCTTTGAAATCTGTGATCCCGAGTCTTGGCAGGTAGGTGCAGTTTACATAAATTAGCTTTCTTCCGGTAATGAAGTTCTCTGTGAAACAGGCCTGCAACAGAAAAGAATAATAAGAAGTAAAATGTTTTATTTTGGGGCTGACATGTACTTACTTGTGTTTAATTTTAACCTACTTGGTATTGCGGGAATCCTAAAGACTCGATCCATCTTGCAACTTCATGACAATCCCACTGTAGGAACTCCATGTTGCCTGAAAGCATGTTGCCATGGAAACTGCTACCTGCCAGTAGGTGTCAAAAAGTATTCCCTCAACAGCCACAGTGAATGTTTGTCAGTTTTTTTTTAAACTCTATGTTTAAAAAGTGTTTGTAGAAAGCGTTGGAGCTTTTGAAGGTAACGTGCCGACACTTTTAACCCTAACATGATCGAAAAGGTGTCTTTTTTTTAAGGATTAATAAAGTAACAGGGACGACTTGTGTTTGTGTTCGTCGCAGCAGCCAATCAGCGTCTCGTAATTTAGGGCGGTTGGCGTATGGCGCGTTGTGATTGGCTTCTAAATACAGCACTTCCCGCCCACATTTAGATAAAGCGGCCAATGGCGTCCCGCGCAGCTTTCACAGATCCACAAATCATCTGCGCCTGCGCTGACCACTCATTTCCGCGGCGGTGGTGTTTTGTAGATCGGACAAAAAGCGCAGCTTCCCGCCGCTCCGTCCTCCGCGTCGCTCCCGAAAGCTGAAGTTCTTTCCATTGCTGCGGTTTGTGGGTCGCTTGAAGGGCTTCGGAGCAGGAATAAAACAAACACCAGACTTCCCACAATGGCAGCAATTCTCCTCCGGTCGCTTTTAAACAAGAAGGTAAAGCTAACTCATGCTAATATTCGACACAAGTGTTTTTGGGGTGACGGTTACGCAACTCACAGCGGCTAACAACCTGAACTGTTAGCTAGCAAAGTCAATGCCATGGACACACGTTGCAAACAACTCAGTCCTCATGTTTGCAAGGTTTTAATATTCATGTGGCGCTTTGAGTTAGCAAGGTGAGGCCAGGTTTTAACTGCTCCACGACTTACCTGTCAGTGTTGCATTCAGACGCGGCTCTCGCTCATTGGAATAAACAGGAATGTACTGAATGTTGTGGTGTTTTGGTTCTTGCAGGCCCCCTTGCAGCTGGGTCGCATGTGCTACTCCTCCTCCTCCTCTGTGGTAAGACACCCCTCAACTTCCCCACAACTGTGTTGCAATCTGAAGTGGAATTATTTACTAGAGTAAAAGCACCAATACAGCAAAGTCAGAAATATATTAAATAACAATTCATTCATTCATGCAAAAGCAGCAACATGCACAAGTAGTGCAAGTTTGGTCCCTCTGATTGATATATTATTATGTCTAGCATGATTATATTGTTGTTAATGAAGCATCAGTGTGTCAGCAGCATGTTACTGTTGGAGCTGCTGCAGGTGGAGCTACTTTCTATGAAGTTTTCTACATAGGGATCAGCAGATACGGCTTTTTCCAGTGCCAAAATAATATAATTTATTTGATTGTTAGTAATCGTGAAGGCTGAAAACTGATATTTATTTGTAGTAAAATTAAAAGAATAATAAACTCCAACTGGAATGCATTTGCTTATTTATATTTAACCTAAAAATGACCTCTCTCACCCTTTACATTTTCAGCGTTGCATCACTTGACGTGTAACCAAACAGGTTGTGCTTTTGGGTGCGACATTGCTTGAGACAACAGAGTGGGGTTTACAGATGCAGGTGGCTGTGTCAGAGCCAATGTGAAGCAATTTTTAAAAGTATTTTATTAGTAATCAGTTAAAAATAGCAATGCTAATATTCTGGAAATACTGAGTTTTACATCCAGGAACAGCAGCAAAATATGAAGAAGTTCTGATACACAAATCTGTGTTTAGTTTGTGGACTTTTTTCCTACTGAGTAACAATAACAACACATTTTATATCGAATATAATATATCAAAGCTGCTATAGATAATTTCTAATGGACTATGGATGTGAAGTTTTCCCCTTAAATACACTGTAACATGTCTTCTCATGGGTTATTTTGAAGGGCGGTTGCTCTAATAACTGTTAATAGACCGATCAGAGTTAATGCACATGAGATAATTAGTAACTATAAAATATAATGAGTATATCAGTAGCTAATGCAGTTTCTTTACTCTCGTAGTTGCCTAGTTTTCAACAAGCTTTTACGACTGTTGCATAATAGGATTCCTGAAATTCAGTTTCGGCTTTTGGTTTCTCTGTGAACTACTTTATGTACAGTTTTACAGACAAGGACAGCAGATACATAAAACAAAATCTGTCCCAGTGTTCCTCTAATCTTTGTTTTTTGCTAAAATTGGAACATCTATTGACATGTGAGGAGTTCTAAAGGGAAAAACTGCTATTTGATGGAGCTTTTAAGTAATGTCCAAGTACCTCAAAATTGTACTGAAGTCCGTTTCTACGACTGAAAGTTAGCTTGTTACTCGTTGGTATTTTTTTTGCATTTTGGACACACACGGTCCCATAACAACAAATAGGCTTTGTATTTTTGGAATTGTTGGCAAAGTTTGTTTAAATTGGAAAAGAGATAATATTTACAAGTGTTCATGTGCTTTGGAAGTCCAAATGGAGCGGAGACACATCTTGGTTTCTTGGCTTTGTTTAAAGTGTCTTCAGATTTTGATAGCGGATTAAGAAATCCACTGCCAAAACCAGAGAACACACACAGAGTAAAACAGTTTTCTGAAGAATTATTACGTATTTGTAGCTTCAGCAGCTCCTTTGTACGTTACAAATGATCAGAGCTGCAAGAAATGTTTGATTTATTTGTAATGATTAAAATAATCACAGACTAGTTTGATAGTCAATAAATCTGTTACAAGAAAAAAGTTGAAAATTCCTTTATTCCACCTTTTTAAATGTGAATATTTTCTGGCTTCTTTCCTCCTCTGTGACTCTAAACTGAATATATTTGGATTGTGGACAAAACAAAGCATTTGTCATCTTGTGTTTGGGGAAACACTGATCAACATTTTTCAGCGTTTTCTAGACCAAACAACTAATCAATTAATGGAGAATATAATTAAGATATTAATAAACAATGAAAACAATCATTAGTTGAAGCCTTGTTGAGAAAAATGTAATTAATAAAGCCACTGCCAAAACCTCATAAGTGTTTTTTTTCCAAGGAGTTAATGCGTGTCGGCTTTGGAGCTTCTTCAGTTCCTGCATTGCAACAGATCAGAGCTGCAACAGTTTAGGTGTCAGCTATTAAAATAATGGCCAACTATTCTGATAAACAATAAGAGTAATTTTTTAAGGAATAGTCTAAATCCTCTGATGGCAGCTTCTTACATGTGAATATTTTCTGGTTCTTTCTTTCTCTGACTGTAAACGGAACATATTTAACGTTGACATTTGTCGTCTTCAGTTTTGGGAAATACAGATTTTTAGATTTTTCACCATTTTTATAGAACAAAAACTAATTTATTAACCAATAAAATAACAGACAATGAAAGTAGTTATTAGTTGGAACCCTACAATGGATATTAGACATTTATTCATGATTAATTTAATTAGATAAGATATGCAGAAATACAGCAAGGAATATTACATTTTGAGAGGTTTCCTGTGTTTTAAAGTTTTTACTTGAAGAAATATTTCAACTATGTTGTTGCTGATTTTTTTTCATTAGCAGCTGTAATGTATAATGACCCTTTTTAACCTTTCCAGTGTTTGTGTACCCACAGAATACTCAAAATCTGCTTAGGACTAGTAGCAGGTTTGGGATTTGCATACAGTTAACGTAGCAGGAACATTCTATGTCAAACTTGTTGGTTTTTCCTCTTAAAAGCTTCACATATATGACGGAGGAATCCCAAGTATTGGAGCCACTGGGGTAATGTTAGTAAAATTACAGCTACTTTAACAAAGAAGGGGTAAAACTTTTTTATGTATCCTGAACTTAGTCTTTCACGAAATATCTAACCTCCCGTTTTTTCTGACACAACAATGTCTACAATTTAAATGATTAGTTTTTAGGTGAAAGGTGGTTCATGGAATGTGTTCAATCCAGACGTCCATAAGCAGCTTATTTTATCCACGACAAAAACAGTCTGGAAGATGTTTCATACATTTGTTTTAAAAATGTGAAAACATGACATCATACATTTTTACATTATTTATACATCATGTTTTTTTTTACTGGAATTTTTATTTATTTTTTTGCTACCATGGATCCAACATTTGATTTAAAAAAAATTTTTTTTGTCAAATTCAATTCAATTTAATTAATTTATTTTAATTTATATATTTCTTTATTTTCATTCTGAAGCTAGCAGGAAGACAAATATCACTGGATTATCCTTGAAACTTACTGAGTTGCGGATGTTTAGAATCTGCAAAAAAAAATCACTTAACTGTGTTTTTTTTTTTCTTCCCCACCCTTTTTCGGTGCCTGAAAATTCATCTGAAATGGACCAAACTGACCAGAACCTTGCAGATTTTTGCCCCCATTAGCAAATATATAGGTATACAGCATTTTCAGGTAGCCCATTGTAACCCCTAAACCTGCTCTTTTTTGTTTAATTTAGACAAAAATGGAAAATTTGAACACCCGCTTCGTAAAAATTTGTCAATAATTCACCTATGGCTTTAATGTTTGGGATTTCTTCTTCATATAAATTAATCTTCGACCAGAAATATATAAAGAAAATTAAAAATTAGAGGTTGGTAAATGTAAAATACTGTCTGTTGTCGGACATGTCAGATCAGCCAAACTTAAATATCTTTAAATCAAGCCGGCTCAGTGGATGTAAAGTAAAGCAGTCTGTAAAGCTTTAGGAAGTCACTGAACGTGCTGTGATGGATAGATGTCCTCAGTGAACTTGGTAGTGATGTAACCAGCAGGCCAGAGGGGGATTTAATCATATGCTTCTGTGATCTTCTAGCCCACCACCAAGCTGTTCATTGATGGCAAGTTCGTCGAGTCCAACACGTCGGAATGGCTCGACGTTCACAACCCTGTGAGTATCCGTCGGCGAACCTGCACGGTAACGAGATGTGGCTGGCGAATAACCGGCGCGGTTCTGTAGCAGGAACTTGTGAGCACCAGAGAGCGGGAAAAATAAGTCTTGATTTGCCAATTTCTAATAGCCTGATTTGTAAAGCGAGAGAAGTCAGAGCCCGGCCTACACAGCCCGTCATGTTTTATATCCTCTGAAAGGCCAGGCGGCTGTGTAGCTTGTCAAGTGCGCGCCTCTAGCAATGCTCTGATGGCTGCTTGTAGCATGCGAAAATATGCATCTACTTTCATCACATAAAGTTTCGAGCCTGTAAAGGGTTGAAAACGAATATTCGGATGTAATATTAATGAATTATTGTGCATGGCTTCCCCTGCCTTCCGTCATCTCGTCTTGTCTGCTTGCGGCTCCTCAGGCCACGAACGAAGTGGTGGGACGAGTTCCTAAAGCCACCCAGGAGGAGATGCTGGCGGCGGCCGACTCCTGCTCCAGAGCCTTCCATTCCTGGTCCGAGACCTCCATCCTCAGCAGGCAGCAGATCTTCCTGCGCTACCAGCAGCTCATCAAGGACAACATTGTAGGGGGATCTGCAGCTCACCGTCACGTCTCTGTCAGATAAATGACTGCAGGTGTTTTCAGCTGACCCCTCCGCCTCTAATGTTACAGAAAGAGCTGGCGAAAATCATCACCTTGGAGCAGGGCAAGACTCTTGCCGACGCAGAGGGGGATGTATTCCGAGGACTGCGTAAGTACCGCTGGAGTTTGATACCCTGATTGGATTAAAGTGCTGCCGAACACATGGCAGAGATCAGATTCCCTCGTTGGAACTGGGATCTATAGTATCCGCTGCTCCTGATGAAAAGTCTGCAGCTTTGGCTCAAGCTTGCATTGAAGGTTTGATACCCAAAGTGGCTGCAGGTTGTCTGGCTTTTGTGTGTAACTGGAAACTCCCTGGAAAAGTGGCATTTGAATTAGTAATGGGAAAACGGACTGTGTTGGTTTAGTTGGCAAAAGACTGCACGATTATGGCCAAAATGATAATGCAGAGTATTTTAATTAATATTGAAATTGTGGTTGTTTATCATGTTTTTTCATAGATTTTTAGC